GACTGTGATTCGAAACCAAAATTTTTTTAAATTTTTTTAAAAAAAAAATTTTTTATTAAAAAAAAAAATTTTTAAAAATTTAAAAAAAAACCCAATAAAAAAAAATAAAATAAATATAAATTAAAAAAAGGGAAAAAAAAAAAAAATCTTTTAAAAAAAAAAAAAAAAAAAAAAAAAAATTTTTTAAAATAAAAAAAAAAAAAAAATTAAAAATATAAACAAAAAAAAAAAAAAAAAAAAAGAAAAAAAATAAAAATACTAAAAATAAAAAAAAAAATTTTAAAATTTAAATAAAAAAAAAAAAAATTAAAAAAATAAAAAAAAAAAATTTTAAATTTTTAAAAAAAAAAAATTAAAAAATAAAAAAAAAAAAAAAATTTATAAAAATTTTTTTAAAAAAAAAATTTAAATTAAAAATTTAAAAAAAAAATTTAAAATTTAACGGGAAAATCGGGTCGAGGGATCTAAAATTTTTCCCCCATTTAAAAAAACAGGGGAGTAGTGTCAACAAAAGTAAAGTCCGAGGCGGGTACGGTGAAAAGCTTGTTCCACAAGGCCAGTACTCGTTCCCTTTTTTTTCCTTCCTTATTTTGGGACATAGAAAAGGGTGTCCCCCCCACAGAATTCCCTTTCCTTTCCCCCTGACCCCCGGGAATTTTCCAACCCTGGTTTTTCCATTGCAGCCCCTGCAAAGCTCCAGGCAGACATCAACCAAATTTTTTGGGGGGGCCCTAAAAAAATTTAGTTCAAACGAGAAAAAATTTAAATACTAAATTATGGTAAACATGGGGAAAATTTAAAATGTCTTCAGATTTAAAAAACCAAATTCGGGCCAAAAAAATAGAGGGGAAAAACACCAAGTCAAAGACCGGGGGAGGGGGTTTTCTGCCCCCAGACTTCTTCAACCCTTCAAGGACCATAACTTTTGAAATCAATCCCCATCTGCTAGAAAAATGACAGGTTGGAAAATTGAGAACCTTCAAAAACTGGGGAAAAGGCCCAAAACCCCCAGGGAGGGCACTTTTTCCCAGGTACTTGTTCTATTGGGCGGGAAATTATTGGGCCACTAACAGAAATTTTAAAAGGGGGTTTGAAATTGCCGACCAAAAAAAATGTACAGAGAACTTTCACGGCGCGCATAACGGGATAAAACACCCCCCAATTAATTGGGGGGCGCTTGAGGCCCAAAACCTGTTTTTCCCGGGAAAAAAGGAGGGGGGAAAAGGAAAACAGGGAATTTAATAAAACCCGGGAAAAAACCCTTTAAGAGGGACTAGTCCCAAAAATTGGCCACGAAAATCATCATTACGAAAAGCAAAAGACTTGGCAGACGATGCCCCACCCCCCCCCAATGAAAAGCAGGGGTGTCACTAGCACGTTAAGAGAAAAAATACAATAAGTGTCAGGGGCCCGAGCCCTGTTAAAACTGCCTCCCGCACACATAAGGGGGATTCCCAACGACCCCTGGCAGTTTTTAAAGTTTGGCACGGGACAAGCCCCTAAAGTCAGTTTTTTCTTCCAACCGGGCTGTGCTCTTTATGTTGGTTTGCGTGCACCCCAAGCAGCAACAGCCGGGTTGATAAGGTTGGGGCCCACCAGGGGGGCCGGTCTCAGAAGGGGCCGCGGGGGCGTTGACCCCGGAACTCTCTCCGGGGAAACCCTCGGGTAAACCAGAAAGTACAACAGATGCTGGAAAAAACGCAGTTGTCGTTGGAGGTTTCATTCCTTTCCCAAAACTCCCTGGCACGGGGATTTTATGAAAGAATGAATTTGGGGATTGTAAAACGTAATTTTAAAGGGAAAACTTTCATCGTCAGTGAATAGAAATTTTGAAAGGGAAATTCCCTACAGTTGTGACCCCCGGGAAAAAAAAAAATAGAGTTAACAACAGACCTTTTAATTATGTTAACCCATGATTGGACAATTTAGAAGGTTTTTGCCATTATTTACTACATTTGGGAAGGCTGAACCCGTTCCTCCCCTGAATGATAAAGAAATCAAGGGGGTCCCATTTTTTCGAACCCGGGGAACCCCAGACGTTTTAAAATTTAAACACCTTAAAAGTGATTGAACGTTGGGAAAAAATTTTGGGGAGAAGACTATCTCAAACCCCATTGAGAAGGGAAAACTCCCCCCTTGGGGGCGGGGTTTCCCGAAAATAATGTCCCTTTAAAACTGGGTGGGGACAAGTTGGGTTATTGAAATGATGGTTTCCCAAAGGGGCCCAATGGCCCCCCTGGAAAAATTGTGACCATATATCCTGATGCAAAAAGGAAAACATCAGGACAGTTGATGTTTTTAAAAAAGGTGTAGTGAATAAGCAGACAAAAAATAAATAGTGCCCTTAGAATTACACGTGTTGAAAACAAAATTTAGTGATTCTCCAGAAACCACACAGACTAAGCTGTTCAGAAAAGACAAGCAGCAGTGGTGGCGAGTGAAAAAATTAAATTAATGTTAAATGATGAATAGTTCACCTGCAGCGAACCTCTGCCGCCCCCAGTGTGGAGAAATTTTCTCCAGGAGAGGGTATCACCCCCCTTCAGCTCTTTCAGCCCCTTCAGCCCCTTTCAGCCTGAGAGGCCAACCCCTCTCAGAAGGGGGTGAGCGTCTTGTTTACTGCTACAGGAGTAATTGATCACAGATGCTATGCGACATAGTCAAGTGACCTCTGCTCCTTGCAATGGTGTTGCAAAGTGTATTTTTATAAGAGACAGTACATCTTACTTTAGCAGGACAATTAAGGAAATCCTGCTCCCACTTTATTGCAATAGTAAAGATAGTGTACATTGTTGTCTATGCTTAAGCACCAAAGAAACAAAATTCTGCTTTGCTTCATCGAGGAGGTGACAAGGATGCATGGTACTAGGTCAGCGTTTTTTTTTTTGTGTATTAGGGCAGTGACGGCTTGGGGCGGTGTGGCATCGCAGATTAACTTTGACTCTAGAGGAGTGACATGATGCCAGGAAAACCCAACAAAGAACACTGATCTGTGCGTTAGTGTGACAAAGTGTCTCAAACACAATAAACATAAAAGAAGTGTGATCAGCTTCTCTTGTGATACATTGTGAACAATAAAGACAAATTTGTGGAACATAGTGTACCAGTGTGCTTTTCCCTAGACAAATGGATGACTGTGGACATCCAAGGACACTTCAGCTTCTATCAAGTCACCGATACCTGTCGAAGGTTTTGAGAAAACCCATAGCTCCGTTACAAGAGCAAGGTATGTTACGAATTTCTTGTAGATCGGGGGACTGCGCAGTTCTTCAGTCGCAAGGAGTTTGTAATCAACCTATAGTCAGCAGTAAGGTGTGGACTTTTGAGTCCAAACAAGTAGGTATATCGTCAGCCATCATCGAATGAAATATGCTGACATAACACCCCTCAGGGGTAATTTATATACTTACAAATTACATTTCTTGACAGCCCATGTTGAGATGCCTTCGACAGCTTTCAAGACCTCGTATGCGGGGCGGCTGGGGTAGATGATTTGCTGTCTTTTATCAGCTTTAAGTGTTCAATATATTTATTTTTATAAATTTTATCTTAGCTGGTAAGGCCAATATCTTCAACAAGAAGGGTGCTTGGTCATTACAGTCTTTAAAACATCTTCCAACTTTTTGGACCTTCTTTAGAGGACAATCGGACGTTTAGTCCCTTAACACCACATAAATGACAAATAGGAATAAAAGAGGTCAGTTTACTTTCCACTAGAGGCTTTGATTTCTTAAGATCTGGTGAACCCTTGCCCTTAGGGTTCGATCCCTTTAGGTCTTTATGGAATTGTGGCCTCAGCAATACAAGTCAGCGGCCTCAGCAACTTCATCAGCTTTAATTAGGTTACGTTCTCTAATGGGAAAGTTCGTATTTGGTGGGGAAGAGCTGTCAAAGGAACTGGTCAGCAACCATGAAGTCTCTAGAGATTCATAACTGTGATCAATTCCTGAACTCTCGGTCGAGTGATTACTGTTTGGCCGGAGCCCCACACGTCACCTTTTGGGGTGGAGGAAAAAGGGGGGGGATTTGTGGGAGCAAAAACTTACCCTACCTTAAAAACCAGCCGGCAATCAAACTATCTTTACCATATACTCGCTCGCTACTCCTATCTGTTGAACTTTTCCCTCACATAGTCTACACTGGGAGACTCATTCATGATGGGACGTGTGGCATGATATAATTCCCCTGGCATCAAAACTGAAAAAGGGTATGGCACAATTGGTGTACTTTTTTTCCAGTTCCATTCGTGGTCAGATGGTGAGGGTGGTTGTGGCATGGGGATGGGGCATGGGGG